CATTATATAACTATGGAAGTACATAAAACATGTCCAAAATATAGATCGCCATAGTTTAACCATGATGCTTTGCTGGCCTTGCTTTTAACCACCCCTGACACACATCGTAATGTGATATTGTGTACATTTTGCTGGTTGTTTATTTTTTATCTATTTATTTGGTCGTTTGTATTCTTTACTTTTTAAAGTTTGCTTATAGTTTGTGTAGCTTTCCTTTAGTGTCTCTGCTTGAAGTAAATGTGTGAAAATTGACAAATTTCCCAAACTTAGAATTGTCTGAGCTGTGAATGTTTAACTAGCCAGGTACTCAATTAGCAATCACCTCACACACTACATGGCTCAAAAAACCTATTGCAAGACAGGTTACACGTGATTTCGAATGCACCCTGTGCTAATGTGTTTGAAAGGTGCTCAGCGGGGAGGTAACTCAACTGTGGAAAACTCTTTATCCTTAACTAACTAGAAGGAAAATGAGATTAGAGAACAAAGGAATCATGTTGAGGAAAATACAGACATGTTGACAAAAGTGTTGAATGTCTTCTATTCTGTCCATGTAGATCTCTTCATTACAGTGGTCGTGATGCCATTCAACCTGGACCAGTTTAAATGACATCTAAGATGCCTACATTGCACTTAGTGTAACTTACAGCTTGTATGATGGTGAGTCATGACAGACAGTGGTCATGCCTCCTCACACTTGTAGAACTCTGCGTTTTGTGATAAGAACTGATGTAATGTCCACAAGCAGAACGATATCTTTCTTGCATGTTTCTATTCGGTTTTCGGCTAATGTTACAAAGAATTGCAATAGATTATCAATAAATGAAGCTCGGTGTGAGTGTACCCTATATCACACATTAAGGGAGATTTATTAATGTAAAACATGTGCACTGAGCACAATGTTCAGACATTCTATTGGTTTCCATGATAATTTAGCCCTTTGTAAGTACCTTGTCCCATAATGGCACCTGTTCTTGCCTGCTCTTCCCCATTTCTCTAATCAGCAAGGCCCTACACTGTACCAGTGACTTTCCGCTGTCCTCTATCTGTCCATCCTCCACTCCAAGCTCTTACTTGCAGGACCTCCTCATTCCAACAGGAGGTGCTACCCCATCATGTAAGACTTTATAGGCTCAGTGGCAGCTGGTGAACTTTAAAAGGTGAGGCCCTAGTCTCTACCACTGGAATTTGACTTTGCTCCCTAACTTAATGAGCTCTGCCCATTAAAGGGACACTCCAGTCACCAAAACAACTTAATCTAAATGGTTTATCCCCAAAGTTGCATTCAGTGATGACCACTCCCACCCTGGCAGCATCTGGCTTTTGAATTTTCAGTTTCAGGAAGCGCGGAATGCCGCCCACCAGGCCAGAGAGTGGTCTGCTGACACTCTCAGCGATTGACTCCCCATTCACAAAACTGGCTTAAGAAAGGTAAGTTTCTTTCCAAGCCAGTTTAGTGAATGGGGAGTCACCAATCGGCTGAGAATGGTTTAATCCATGTTAATGGTAAGAATGCCTCCAGGGGCCCCCTGGCATCATAACTACTTCATTTAGATGAAGTTGTTTTGATGCCTGGAGTGTTCCTTTAAATCTTACTTAATGAATCTTGATGCTTTGCTCAACACTACAATTCTATTGATGTATTTGGCTAACAATATGCCCTTTATAGAGATCCATCCTCACCCTCTGATACTATTTAATATCCTGTGACTGCCCTGGAAGACCAAAATGTAATCTCATATCTATTATTTAAAATCTACTGGTAAATGATCAGTACTATATAAAGGGATACCAAAATAAGAGGAACTGCGTACCGACACGGACCTGCACATTTTAGGACAAAACAGCTGTGCTAGAAAAAACTTTTTTTTAATTCAATTTGTTTTCCATTTTTTTAAAAAATTACAAGAAGCTTCTGTTTACTATTCTGACTAACATTACTAAATAAAAAGCATTGTACAAAACTTTTGAATTATTTTATAAAATAACACTCCGTGGAGTTTCACAAATGGCCTAGCATAATAACACATATGTAACTGATGCACATTTTTAGCATTTTTATGTAAACTTGGACAGAAGGCTAACAATCCTCTTTCTCTACTGTTTTCTTTTATTCAAATAATCTCCAACAATGCTAATATTATAGTCCCTTCACTGTAGAATTTCACTCTCCAACGCACAGTTTGTGGGAGGGCTACGAGAATCCAAGATGCCAAAACATTTAAACAATCTGTTCTGCACACAATATATTTACTATAATGAGAATTTAAACAATGTTTTTCTTTTTTTTATCTTCCTGAGTGGTGATTCTCATTAACATGACATGACTTTATAATATAATTAGCAGTGATGTACCAAATTTATGCCTTTCCTAACATGCTTCATCTGACTCACACGCATTTTGCTTGACATGCTACCTCAATCTTAGGTTGAAAGTTTGTGTAATCACGGTGCTATTTTTTTTTATATCTGTTCATATGGTACTATAAAATGACTTCTCTCAGATGTGTAGGGAAGTGTATTTAAAAAAAAACACTTGATAAGTCAATTTGGAATACTCACCCAAGTCCTGCTCGAGTGCAATATATATATATATATATATATATATATATATATATATATATATATATATATATATATATATTGCAGCAAATTTATTCAATTTGAATGTTAAGTCTTATATTTCACTTTTTGCGCAATCATTAGGTTATTTTTAAAATATATATAAATAAGTGTAGTGTTGCTTTGGACAGGATTGTTGAAAAGCAGCATCTGTTTTCTGCGATAATGGTTGAAATTGTTATTGCGTGATGGACGTGATGTGGTATGACATAGGTAAAACAAAGGTGCTGGTGAATGTGACTTTGGCAAGGCAAGGACATATCTATGACAGTGATATTTTAGGCTACATTTTGCAGCTGCATGCTCTTCCCCTACCCTTTTCATTTTATAGAATTTTTAATTTTCTCCATATTTGCTCTCTTTCAACAAAATCTCTCCATTCACTCACAGCAACTCTCTTTCAGGCAACCAATTCAAAAAAGAGGAGCATTTAGAGGTCACGATATTACTTTGATGCAGAAGAATTTGGATAGATTAGATGGACTGAGCATTGAAATGGCAGATGAAATTTAATGTAGAAAAATGCCAAGTGATACACCTTATGATTAAGAATCCACAAGCAACGTACACACTAAATGATAGTGAGGTGTGGAAAACAACACATGAAGAGGAGTTGGTAATTGTTATAGCCAACAAACTAGGCAACAATGTCCAATATCAATCAGCAGTTGCTAAAGTAAGCTATTGTCATGCATAAAAATGTGCGATGATTTAATTTTGCCTATTTATTAATCTGTGGTAAGACCTCACCTTGAATATGTCATGCAATTTTAGGCACTTATGTTAAAGAAGGAAATTATGGCACTAGAAAAAGTAGAGAGGTGGGCTACAAAATAAATAAGGGGAATGGAAGATTTTAGTTTTGAAGAAAGGCTAACAAATGTAAATGAGGGGATATGGTAACATTATACAAATAAATTCAAGGTCAATAAAACTGATTGTCTGGAAATCTATTAAAAAACAGGATTATACAATGGACATGAGATCATCCAATGTCTGCTCATACCATTCAAGATCTTGGATGGAAAAACAACACATTCTAGAACTAAAACGCATACAGTTACCAATTATGATGCCAACTTTTTAGGCAAAAATTGCTAATTAGGCAAAATTTGATTCCTCAGCTATAATAAGATTACATATTGCAGTTTGTTTTTCATTTCACTAAAATTCCTCTATTTACAGAGTAAATCCAGAAAATGATATAGATATGTAAATTTGAGATTAAGTGGCCTACCTTTTCTAACGGTGGAGTACATTGTTTTGTACGGGTTTATGGCGTTTGTACCTATATATCCATCAAACTATGCTAATTAAGGAGTAACAGGAATAATTATAACATTTTAGTTTCCCCAGCTGTTGCCATTAATACATAGTAATCTGGAAATAAAGAGTTAAGACTTTTATTAACATAAAAATGCTGTAAAATTAGTTTATCTGAATGGAGGGCTTTTTTGAGAAGTTCGTTGAAGACTTACTGCCCTCAAGTGGAATCATTTAGAAGTTTTTAGCATTTTTTTCCAGAAGATATTTACATACACCATGCCCAAAAAAATAAAAAAAAATAAAAAAGGAACAAGGATGAAACATTTTGTTTTAAGTTACAGTCTAAAGGTTATGAAGACATTCCCAGAAGCCCTACTTCTTATACCTCCCCTTATTGAAAAGCATGTTCTGTAACCCGGTGATATTCAGTGCTTACACACAAAAAAATTAGGTCCCCATATTATAATGGTATCAGACAATACTGAAAGTAGGCAACTAGCCCACATTGTTATCAGATACATGATATAAATGCGGACATAAAAACCTTCCAGTAAAAATGTCTCATAGGTCAGAGCTGTCTTCAACACAGGGCAAACAGGGCAGAACATGCAATTAGCACATCTAGCTGATGAAAAACACCCTTTTCTGGAATTTGTTAAATCTGAATTTCTGATGAAACATCGGTGCCATTCCAGTAAAAGTATCTACATTCATTTTTTTTTGCTCCGACATGGAGTACTATATAAACTGCTTAGATTACTTTTTTCTTTACGAATATGCAAAATGTATAAAATAATATTTTTTTATATAGATGGCAGTTTAATGGTATCAAATAAATTCCAATAATAACATTTTCATTTGTTCTCCTACCCTTTAAATCACTATTGGGAAATACATTTTAATTAATACACTTTTCTGTAACTTCATTTTTCTTGTTAAAAACATATAGAGTAAGATTAAACTGAAGAAAATAAAATATTTATAATTAATATGTTGGCCCTTTGTGGAATTCAAATCAGGAAGTCACCAATACTGGATCGACTAAATATCTACAAAACAAAAACATATAATTTTGTAATGGAAATACAGAAGAAGAAACCCAGACAGACACATAAAAAACAAACAAACATTTATTTAATGCAGTCTCAGTTCAGGCACTTAAATAACCAGACAATTGTGCATCTTCCATTCTAGATATTTAACAATTGACAACCAATAATTGTGAAGTTGTGGCTTTCAACCCTCATTTAAAAACATTACACCATTAACTTACCAAGTAGGATAAGCTGGGGATTATTAACCCGTACTTCAGGTCCCACACCATCTCATGTCTACAACCTGCCACTGAACAGGCCAACAAGGAAGGAAGCCCAATTAAAGCGCTTCACCATTCATATTGTTTGTTTAAATAAAACTGGGGAAAACCTATAAATTCTCACATATGTCCATCAGTCAGGGGTTGATAAAGATTTGCAGAATTTAGAAGCCAGACATATCTTACAAAAATACACTTTTTTTTTTTTAGGAGTCCAGGAACAAAGCACATCCGTAGAATTCAAAATAGCACACAAATCTCATAGCACCAGCAGAATTATCATTCAAAGCCATTGCTTTCTGGCTCGTGGAAGTTGTCATGTCCTGGATAAGTAATCATGGACAAGTAGCACTGTTCCCTTATGGAAAACATTACTTTGCCGGGTGAGATTATTGGAAAGAACAAAGGTTCTTAGCCACCTGGCATTGTAACAGAAGCAGTCTCTACAGCCTATTTCAGATTTATGGTCTTGGGCCTTGCAAATATGTTCACAAAGACATGGCAGAAATAAGCAGGGGAAAATCAGAGAAGAAGTGGTTATTACAGATACAAAACAGATTTAAACCAGACCAGTTTTCACAGGAATGAAACGGCAGCCTATTGCCTTACCTTACCTGAACTTCAACTCCTTTTTACCTTGCACCTTCCAAACCTTGATCATTTTTATTTTGTTATACTATCAATAATGTGACTTTATGTTTGCACATGTACTACTGGAGGGGTCTCAACCTAGTCCTCAAGGCATATCATAGGGTTCAGGTACTCCGCATCACATCTGGAGCAAAACTGGGATAATGCCATAATTTTGGACTGCTTGTGCGCCTTGACGTCTGGGACTGGGAAATATTGCACTACTGTAAATGGATACCAAAGACTGTCAACTGGATTTTATGTATTTTATTTTAAGAACAATGCTGCATCTCATTAAAACCAATTTATCTTCAGGTAGATCCCTATGTAAAGTTATCAAGCTAGTTTATATCTAGAATCCCACTGGCACAACAACAAAACAATTAAATAAATGTGTTAACAACGAAAGATTAGAGAAAATTACTTAGAAGATGCAAAACACATCTTGTTTTCTCTTTCTGTAGGCCTCTCCCCTTTTGTTTTTTTGCCTCATATTTTGTACATTTTTGTGCTGCCATGAACAAATTTTACATTTTTTAAAATAGAAATAATGCAGGAACTTTTTATTTGATCTTTTTCACGAGTGCGAATATTATCTGAAATTGCTTTTGAAGACGGCTTTATGAGGAATAAATTTGTCAACTTAAAGGCTGACAATAAAACTTGTTTGATGTAGTTCAAAATAATTGGGAAAATCAGCTATTGTGAGTACAGACCAATACTGAAACAATTAAATTCACAAAACTGGATATGGATTAACTGGCATCACATACTGTTGCATCAGATACGATTATAAAAATTACAAAAATTATAAACCTCTGGAATTCTTAACTGAAGAAATGTTGTGCTAACCAGTTGGTCGTTGGTGACCCAATTTATTTTACTTTTCAATCTAATAAACTGAATGGAGTGATTAAAGAGCACAAACATATTTTATTTTTACGAAATTGAGAAATGTTTTTTAAGAAATGTTAAATAAAATTAATTTCTTTTTGAAAGTTTATTATTAGTCCAAATTCCATGACCTGAATACGGAAGAAAGAAAATAATAGCTTGAGATTTAGGCGTCTTTGCTCCAGAGTAGAATGAAGTTGCGAAAAGTGGACACAATGCTCCCAGAAAATACCACTTTTCTTAAAACGAATGAATTCTTGTGAAAGTGAACACTGCATTAAAAAAAAAAAATCATTTTATCATTTCCAATTTTGCACTGGCTTCATTTACATGAATTGGTAAGGACCGGTCTTCTGACCCCAACAACAACTGATACTTTTGTCTACAACAAAACTACTGCACAATGCACACAGTTACAGTACATAGCACCCATGTAATGTTTTCATTGGCGTTCAATGCCTTGGCTCCGTACATACAACAAGTGGCGTGGAGAGGTATCTGTTTTAGGAAACATTTTGTTTTGTGAAGTTGGAAAAAAAAAAAAAGGAAAAAAATTGAAAACAATCTCAAAAATATCAATCTCTGTTTTCTCTCTTGGTGGAAACAAGTTTTCCCTGATTCACAGATATTCTTAAGGCAAAAGTCTGCGGGTCGCATGCAGAACACAAATAAGGTCCGTGTTAATGTTATAATTCTGTTTTTGTTTTTGCAGAGTCCAATGGAGGTCCTAACATTTCAACAGGACTATCGGAATCCTGCAACACATTGGACTCTTGTGCATCCCGAGGTATGGCATCAGGAGACACTGCGGCAGTCTGCTCGGAGGTGTTAGCTTCAGAAGAAATGGCCTTGGATGTCTTCTCTTGTCCATTATCTGAAAACACATCTTCGGTATGGAAGAGCATTTTAACCAAGTCATCTGCTTGCACTCGTTCCTGGAATTAATGCAATTTAACATCAATTAAAACAAACATTGCTTGCAGTTCTTTAACTAGTAATTATCTAGTAGTAACTAGTCGCATTCAACAGCTGTACTCTCAAATGGTCAGATCACCCTATTATTTCTATTGAAAATCTGCACTTGCAGAACGGATATCTGAAACCCCTTGTTAGCGATCAGATGGGTAGGTTTTCTTCTGTTTGCTCCACAGAGCTTTATCTCTTTAGGTAAAAGTGTGCTCATAGAGCCACTTTAGCCCTGTCTGTGGACTCCCTGGTTTTCAGCCTGGAGAATTTGGGCTGAAAGCCGTGAGCACATGCACTCACCTCTGAAAATCAGAGGCTTTCCAGCGAAAAGCCTCTTATTGGTCATTTCCCTGGTACAGACTTTCTGCAAAGGCTGCAGACAGCAGATCTGCAGTTTTTGCAAGCAGTTTTTAGATATATCCCTATGCAGGATTTCATTAGATTGCAAAAAAAGTTGCACTGGAGTGTTCCTTTAATTACTGGGCTAAAATCGATAACTATAAAAACTTACTCTCTCATTGTGTCGTGGATCAAGCGTGAACCATAGGGCAACAGCACATCTCTGACCTCTGGTTACCGCTCTTACTCCATGAGGGTTCTCTGCTCCAGAAGAAAATCCAACCATTCGCCCACACTGTGGTCGCACTTCTGCCTAGTAAAAACAACAAAAAACATTGACAAACCGTAAAACATAACACAAACTTAAATAATCTTGCTAATAATAATAATAATGACTCTTGATAAGCAGGCATTGGTCTTTTATATTTTTCAGTGGGAGGGATTTATTTTTCTTTTTAAACACTTTTTAAAATATTCTATTTTTCCTTTCAATTTTAGTTCCACGGCGATTTGCTCTAATTGCTGCAGACACATGACCCCCTCTCAAATCTGTGATGTCAAAATGGAAGCTATGGCTCTCCACTGATGCATACAAGGTGTTGTACCGGAATGAAGCTACTTAGCAAGGTAACATTAATTTTGTTAAATTAACTTGCTAGTAAGTTTCATTTTTATTTTTCTTGACTGAAATATTACCACAACAGCTGAACACTTGCTGTGCAGTGGTTTATGTGATATGTGCAACACAGCCATAAATAAATGCATACCTCCCAAAAATGGAAGGTACGGAATCAAGAATGGAGTGGGCAGTGTCCTGAGGGTGTGTTGACAGCGACATGACACACCTCAAGAGGCCATGCCCGTAATAAGTGGATCTGGTGGTGCCTGCATACAGTTCCCTGGTGCCCCCCAAAGCAGGACATCAGGGAACTGAATTGGGATGGTGAGACAAGACCCTAAAATTGGGACTTTCTCGCCAAAAGTAGGACTGTTGGGATGCATGTATAATGTCAGAAACAGAATTGGTTGATAAAGTTCAGTAGGCACTTTCTGGTCTCTGTAGAAGCTAAAACATTAAAAGCAGAGTATTTAATTTAAGGTGTCTCTGTAAAGACTTGCATGTGATTTTTAATAGTAAACAAAGTGTATATCAGAGAGTGTAAATTTTCTCTCTTTTGTGAGACTCAACACTCTTTATTATCAGACAGAAATACCACATTCTCTGTAGGCCATCTCTTGTAATCAAGCCCGGACTGGCCATCGGGCACACGGGGCAAATGCCTGGTGGGCCGTGGGCCGAGGCCGGCAGGGAGATCACAGGATCTCCCCTGCCGGTCTTTGCAGGGCCGGCACTATCCGAGTGATGAGAGAGGCGGTGAGAGAGAGGGCGGTGAGAGAGAGGGAGGGAGCCAGGAGAGGAACCCGGCGGAGCTCTAACTTACAGCTCCGCCAGGTTCCTCTCGAGAGATTCGGAGCGTTGCCATGGCAACGCTCCGGGTCTCGCGAGAGTGAACTCTGGCTTCACAGGCTAGAGTTCACTCGCCACTAGGACCACCAGGGATGGATGGCGGCAGGAGTAGCAGGATCCCCCCTCCCAGGCATAAGGTAAGCAGCGAGGGGGGATATAATCACCCAAGTCACATCAGCCTCACAGACACCCCTAACACTCACAGCACCCTCACTCACACACTCACTGCACCCCTGACATTCACAGCACACACACACACACACTGCACCCCTAACACTTACAGCACCCACACACACATACTCTGCACCCCCGACACTCACACACACACTGCACCCCTGACACTCACAGCACCCTCACTAGCACACACATACACACACACACACTGCACCCCTGGCACACACAGCTTCCTCACACACACATAGCACCCTCACGCAAAACACAGCACCCACTCACACATAGCACACACACACAGCACCCTCACACACACTGCACAATATGCTTTCCTAGCATTTTTGTCTCCTGATATCCCAAATATGGAGGCACCAGAGACAAATTTCAAGCAAACACAGTGCAAGCATGTTATTGAATTTGCTTGTGCTGTGCAAAACAAATACAGGGTCTTTTTCTCACGCCAGAGCTCTGCACATGACCTACCCTGGAAGAGCATTGAACCGACATTCTCACTTTGTGATGGGGCGTGCTTGTCATTGGTGATGACAAAACACACCCTTATCTGGCCCCGCACCCTTTTAAGTGGGCTGCTGTAATAAAAAAAAGCCCGGGCCGAATTTTCTTCCCAGTCCGGCCCTGCTTGTAATCCACTCAGGTAATTACCTCAAGATCTTATACTTTCGGTCATTGAAAATATGCATCATGTTGTAGCGAATTAGAAAGGTTTGCCTTATAAAAACAGTAATCAGATGTAATTTTATTTATTTCATAAAACGTTAACGAGCCTAGAAAAAACAAGTCTTAAACAAAACACAATGTGTTTACAAAAACCTATTTTATTATACACTAACAAACCAAATCCATTTATGTTCAGACAATTTTCTTTTGGTTTGTTTTTCTCCCATTGAATATTTCCATTAATTTTTTTTTGTGAGCACCAAAAAAGAAAACACTTCTCTAATTCTAATCCTAGAAGATATAGGAAGGATTATTCGCTGAAGAAAGGATTGTGGAGAACTAACAAGGGAAAGGAATATTTTAGGCCAAAACAGTCGAATCAGAATAATTCGGTTTTAAAACGAGGTTACAGCAGTGAAATCGGCTCCAAGCGCTGAAAAGGACCTGTCGGAGGACGGTTACTATGCCCCCAGAGACAGATCCAGAAAATTAGAACTCAGCTTTACCTGTACATCTCCACCGGATCCCCCGTGGCAATGTCACAATCAGGGGTCTTCCTGAATTCTGCAAAGTCCCCAGATGGTAACAGTGCCGCTTTAAGTATGGCTTGACTAAAACTTCCTTGTCAGTTCTCTACATTTTTCAATTTAGTGAATAATCACCAAAGTGTGCATCAGAGAGCTTTGCCAATGTACAAAATCATCTCTAACCTAATTTCTGACTAACCAAATTGACAGTAAGTTATTACAAGTATTTGTCAGGTTCTATTCAGTGCAAAGGATATTAACAGGAATGGTACTTACTGTCACTGTTTTTGCATCAAGTTCTGTAAAATAAAAATTTCCACCTTCAAAATCCCCATTTAAATATAATATAGCGCTAAAAGAAAAAAAAAATGAAAGTGCTAAGTGATACACAACTGTGACTTAAAAAAATGCAAAACAAAACAATACAAACATCTTCGCAGTAATTTAAACCTAAACCAGTGGTAAATGCACAATGTTTGGAGTAAATAAGTAAATATTGTGAGAAACTAAATATTAGACTTGTGCACAAATCCCTTTTAGCTGCACCGAATGAATCAATGCCGGTCAATCTATGGTCGAACAAATCGATTTGTTCATCCATAGAGAGTACAGGAATTTGATTTGTTCAGCACAGCTAAATGGGATTTGCGCACAAGTCTACTAAATATTAAGTTCTGATTGCAGTTTAGATTGCTGGATTCATTGTGCAGAATGATCATATTTATTGTCATGGAACATGTGGCTACGTGTCAACGGAATGTTTCGTACAGCAGAAGGATGTAAGTGGGTGAAGCACTGCTACTGTCCCCTCCGGGTTATTTCTTCTGCAAAGTCAAAGTAGCTCTTAAATTAACTGAAAAGGAAAGTTGGTGATGGTGTATGAGGTTTGCATGCAAGTGTGTAAAAAAATAAAATAAATAATAATAATAAAAAAAAAATATCAGTCTGTAGTTTCCCTGTTGGTGAAATGTCTTTTGTAAACCCTGTATCCGCTCTAGCTATAGAGCACTGAAACATATCTTGGCACCATTAGTCAACATTACAATATATACCAGTGGGAGCAAAAGACATTGAGCTTCGGTGCGAATGTATCCTGACCTTAAACACACTCCAAATCATTAAGCAAAGATGGCAAATGAAAGGTGATGAACAATAGAGGCATAGAGTTCGGTTTCCTACACTTGTTCTTCATTAATCACAAATCTGTTAATTGACGCCATAAAACTCCAATCAAATGTTGTGCATTTGTTTTTAAATTTACCTGTAATCACGGAATGTGTAAGCCGGATGCTCCTTTAGGCAAACCATCTCCTCAGAATTTAAAATGCAGTTGTCAACATGAACAGGGTGACTTAAGTCATTTCTTTCATTTTGTTTTGCTAAGAATGAAAAAACACAAAAACATTAAAATTATTAGCCTATGTGGATTACATCATTAATAGGATACAAATGCATTGGCATTTATTATTATAAACATTTTCCTCTTTATCAGTAAAAACATACAAACCATTCACCACCAGGCACTATCCTCAAGACAGCCCCAACATAGTAACGATTCCAAATCCCTACAAAGTCTCAAGGATGGAGCGATAGACAGACGATTATTCAAATACAATAGATTTTATATATATTTATATCCATAGGCGTGCGCAGCCTATTGCATAAGGGTGTGCACCCTAAAGCACAAGCCGCGTATATATATAAAACAAGAGGGGGTTGGCTGCACTCACCTTAACATGCATAAATGGGGGTGCTGCTGGGGGCCAAATAATACAATACACAAGATCCAGCGCACTCACCTATCCACTAAACAGCAACTTCAAAATTGAAAGATTTTATTTGTTTTTTTTAAAACACCTAATCTAGGCAAAAATAATGGGGGTTTAGTTACATTATATGATCATACATTGCATAAGCCTGCCACAACGTCAATGTACCCCATCTTTGGCAGGTCCTACACTAACAGCCTAATGTCTGCTCTTATGAGATTAACCTACTTGGGGAAAAAATTCCATCTGGGGCTCTCTGCAGTACAAGGCTAAATAGGGCCCTGGGATGAGGCACCTGTGACAGGGAGGGGTGCAAAACCAAGGAGTTGGCTAGACTCCCAAATATATATAAAACAAGAGGGGGTTGGCTGCACTCACCTTAACATGCATAAATGGGGGTGCTGCTGGGGGCCAAATAATACAATACACAAGATCCAGCGCACTCACCTATCCACTAGCCCACAGTTGTGCTCATACCCTTGGAGAATTGGTAATATATGTACCATTTTTAAAGAAAACATTAGTGAGCAGGCAAAACATTTCTTTATTTCTTATGGGATTCATATTCAACTGTAGGTTTTAACAGAATGGCACACTCATAAAACAAAACAAGGCAACAAAGAATAAAATGAAATGGCCCCTGTTTAAAAGTCTGCATACCCTTAGTATGTGTATTGCCCATTTTACCATCGATGACACGTGCAGAGTTTTGGAATAGTTGTCTATGGGGCCCCTAATTCTTGGAGGTGGTTTAGCTGCCCATTAATCTTGGCAAAATGCCTCCAGGTCATGCAAAGTCTTTGGTAAGATCTCAAATGTGCTGTTTATGCAAGATGACCAGAGTGGCTCAATGATATCAAGGTCAGGAGACTGTGATGGTCACTCCAGAACATTCACATTTTTCTGCTGTAACACTGGAGGGTCAACTTTGCCTTGTGCTTAGGGTCATTATCATGCTGAAAAGTCCAAGAGTGCCCCATGCGCAGCCTTTGTGCGGAAGATTGCAAATTGATTTCCTGTGCCTTTAGTATGTACACTTTTGATCAGATCAGGCCATTTGGGTGATTTCTGTTATCATTATGATTTAAAAAGGAGCCAAACAACTATGATTATCACTATCTTTCAATAAAATATTTGTTTTTTGCATTATCAGTCATATTTTTTTTAAATCAATGCCAAAATTTTACAATTTCTGCCAGGGTATGCAAACATTTGAGCACAACTGTAAATTCTTTTTTTTCTTAACTTAAAGTATGAACACCCTGACTAGAACTAAACAGCCAACACTTCACCAAAAATGAAGCCCCAAACATTACCACAGACTGTATTTTCACTCTTACCTTCAATGGCACTTCGGCAGACTAAATGGGAGTAGGAGAAGTAAAGAGGGGTGTCCAAGCGAAAGTATGATTCCACCACCTGCCTCACTTTATCAGTAACATTATAGTAGAGGTACGCACTCTTTAAAGGGACTTTCTGTTCTTGCCCCAGCTGAAACCCAAAATCAGAGATGAAATTATTACTCTCGTACACAGCAACACACCGCTTAAAGAACCACTATAGGCACCCAGACCACTTCAGCTTAATGAAGTGGTCTGGGTGCCTGGTCCAGCTAGAGGTAACCTTTTTTTTAATAAACATAGCAGTTTCAGAGAAACTGCTATGTTTACACTGAGTGTTAATCCAGCCTCTAAAGCCTCTAGTGGCTGTCTCATTGACAGCCGCTAGAGGCGCTTGCGTGCTTCTCACTGTGAAAATCACAGTGAGAAGACGCCAGCGTCCTATGAGACTGGCTGAATGCGCGCGCGGCTCCTGCAGCGCATGCGCATTCAGCCGATGATGTCGTTAGGAAGAAGGAGAAGAAGAGGAAAGCTCCCCGCCCGGCGCTGGAGAAAGGTAAGATTTTAACCCCTTCCTCTCCCCAGAGCCCGACGGGAGGGGGTCCCTGAGGGTGGGGGCACCCTCAGGGCACTATAGTGCCAGGAAAACGAGTATGTTTTCCTGGCACTATAGTGGTCCTTTAATGAACCAAATGTGACAAGCTATGTAATCATACTGACAAGATGGCAATCACTAGAGTGGCATTATCTATGATAATTTTGCAGATGAAGGAAAAGAATTGCAGTTGGAAGGATAAAGGTTGAATTTATGTGAATTTTTACATTCATTAAAATCATTTAAAATATTCAACTTATGGTGCAATCAGAAAGAAACCAACAATGCACACATTAACATAAATTGTCAAATATACATCTATGCAACATTTGCATACTGTGGGAATTTTCTAAAACACAGATAGAGCAATTCTGAAAGATAATGTTTTACAACACTTCCACAATGCAATATATGCAAGTAAATAGATACAATGATCACCAACAATATTAAAACCACCTGCCTAATATTGTGTAGTTCCCACTCATACTGCCAAAACTGCTCGGATGAGTCTCCACAAGACCTCTGAATGTGTCTTGTTGTATCTGGCACCAAGACATTAGCAGCAGATCCTTTACGTCCTGAAAGTTCCGAGTTGGGGCCCCCATGGATCAGATTTGTTATAGTACATTCCGCAAATGTTTAAATCGGATTGAGATCTGGGGAATGAGGCCCATGCAACACCTTGAACGCTTTGTCATGTTCCTCAAACCATTCCTGAACAATATTTGCAGTGTGGCAGGATGCATTATCCTTTTGAAAGATGCCACTGCCAAAAACATTGTCCAGAGCATAATACTGTTTCTGCTGACCTATCATCTTCCCATATTGCATCTTGCCTCCGTCTTTTCCCCACTTAAACGGCACACATCCACCCAGCCATCCACCTGAGTGTTACAGTAGTTCTTCTGCGTGATCAGCCCAGATCAGCTAGCCTTCAATCCCCACATGCAGAAATGAGCCTGGGCGCCCATTACTTTTTTTACCATTCCTTTTGGTAGATACTAACCACTGCATACCAGGAACACCCCACAAGACTTGTCATTTTTGAAATGCTCTGAGCCAGTTATTTATCCATCACTATTTGGCCTTTATCAAAATAACTCAGATCTTTTCGCTTGCCCATTTTTTTTCTGCTTCCAACACATGAATTTCAAGAACTGACTGCTCACTTGCTGCCCAATATATTCCACCCTTTTACAGGTACCATTGTAACAATATCATCAGTGTTATTCACTTAATTTGTCAGTGGTTTTAACGTTGTGGCTGATCAGTGTATATTATTGCCACTTTTTTCTGAATTCCACTCTCACAATTCTTTAGATTCCCTTGGCAACATCCTGCAGTTTTAAAACATACTTTATCATCTGAATTGTTTAAAACGGATTATTGTGCAAAGGGGCCAACAAAAAATATAAAAAAATTGTCCTGGAATTTATTTAACTCCATGTCTAGTTTGAATTAAATTCGCTGCTGATTTGGGAAGTATATGGCATCAATTCTTTTTTATAATCCACTACTAAAAGCACTAAAGTGAGAATTGTAGAAAAGTGACAATGCCAAGCTAAAAATATTTTCCAAATCAGTTTTTTTTTTTTCCCAGTTATATGCCTTAACCTTGCAATTCCCTTGCTGACATTTACAATTCCAGACAGTTATAGCAGAATACACTTAATGTACCTTGAGGGCTTTCAATACTGTTACTCCATAAAACTTTTCATTGGGAGTGTGAGGAGACGTCGTACCTCGGTAGCCATCACCAGCAGATGAAGCAGCCTGAGACACAAAGAACAGGAAAATGCTAATCAGTCCAAAACAGCATCATTCACTCTGATCACCAAAACTTATGACATTTTGACTCCCTCTATATGAGTAAATTGCTGGCCAACCATCGTGGAAATCATAGTTCTACAACAACTGGATATCTACATTTGGCCACTTCTGACCTAGGGATTTGTTAATTAAACTGGAGTCTTTACATACCTATCTCTTTTATTCAGTTGGAGTTCAAGTTGGGTTGTGCGGGCTGTGGATGCCAGTTTCAATTATTTACTCTGTATATGCGTAAAATACCCAAATGGTAAAATGATGAGACCTTGTTAAACTTGTAGTGGTTGCTAGACAACCTTGGAGCCTTCCCTTGGTTTAATATCAAGCTGCTTTGGGAATGTTTTGATGTAAACTGGCGCTCTTTTCAACAACCAGGGACCACCCACCCATCTTGATCGCATTGATAATCATCAAATATAATTACAATGCCACTAACATGTCCCAGTACAAAATGAACATTGATAGTGCAAAAAGTGTATATTCCATTGTATTATTATTAATTCAGCAGACTTAGGAGCAGGCCCTGGGAACACCCCTGATTACATTCAAACTTTCCTTATTTTTATTTTTTTAATGAAACCAAAGGACAGTGCAAAGACACACTAGGCAGCATAACCACTAAAGCAAGCTGACATGTTTAACCCCTTAAGGACCAAACTTCTGGAATAAAAGGGAATCATGACATGCCACACGTCATGTGTCCTTAAGGGGTTAGAGGATCACTATAGTGTCAGGAAAACTACCCTCAGGGTCCCCCTCCCATGGCGCTGAAGGGGTTAAAACCCCTTCAGCAGCTTACCTTATTCCAGTACTCTCCTCCCAGCTGACGTCAGCGGAGCCAAATGTGCATGCGTGGCAAGTGCTGCGCACGCATTCAAGCCGTCAATAGGAAAGCATTTTTCAATGCTTTCCTATAGAAGCTCTGCACGATGGAGGCATAATATGCCTCCAGCGTCGCATATGCGTCTCTAGTGGCTGTCTGAAACTGCTATGTTTGCATCTGAAGGGTTAAAACCTGAGGGACATTGCACCCAGACCACTTAATTGAGCTGAAGTGGTCTGGGTGACTATAGTGTCCCTTTAAGTTGCTTAGAGTGTCTATTAAGGGTTGACTGTGCTGCAGCTGAACTAATGAACAGCATTAGTTTCACTGGAACCAACATTGGGCAATGTATGCACAGACCTTGTATCAAATATATTACCAGACCATACAGTGATCTAAAGTTGTTAACTTATCACTGCTTTTACACATATTGGAAAAGTATCTGCACAGCACATATTCACGTATTATGCACTTACGTTGGATAGTCTTAAAAGATCTCGACATTCTTCTTCAGAGATTACCCCGTCTGTCACTACTCTCTGAGACCCATTCAGAGTCTTTGAGTTCATGGCCACACTGATCCCATCAAACAAAACTGAACCACCTACAAAAGAAGATATTCATTTCACAATCAGAGGGAAGGAGAAAAAAATAAATAAAAAAAAAATAAAGGTATTCTCAGATAAGATTAAGAATTCTCCATCTTTTTCTGAAGATTTAGACTACGATGTCAAGTATGCAAATAATTGATCAAATGAAAAGTAACTACTGATAAAGGGGGAAAAAAATGTATGTATTTTAAAGGATCATTTCAGGCACTACAATTCTTAGAATTAAAATTTAGAAAAATTGGGGTAAGCCTGTAGATTCCAAAGGGAAAACAGTGGAGGTGTACATTATGTGTTCTTATTACATCATGCATGTGCAGTAGATGTCCCATTTGATTCCCTAGTTTACACAATGTATTATCAGAGATAGCTTTGATGGTTCTTTATTGAGGATTTGGTTCACGAGAGACACCTTTGATAATACTTAAATGTAAGCTAAAATCCATCATGTCTCTTTTAAAGGGATACTCCAGGTATCTTGCAATTTGTGATACTATGTGATCTCCTACCCCAATAACCTTTGAAAACCTGGTGTAATGTTAAGTCCACCCTACACTCAGACACACCATACGAGCATCTATGGAATGTGCATAGATTCTTCACAGAGATCTATGATGGAATGTTTTGGATCAACAGACATTTATGGTTTTATCTGTAGCTCCACAGATGATAAAAAAAAAAAAAAAAATGAGCCATTATTTTCATTGATGCCTTTTCATGAATGAGGAAGCTCCCAGTTCTGAATACCCATCTATTATCCCTCTCCTAGGCATGGGTTTATGGCATACTCTTTTCTCCTAATGAACATAACAGAAGTACCAGGATCAGCTCAAACGTTTGCAGAGCTCACTAACAGCTGCAAATCCTTTAAATTTGCAGCAAAAGCATGAATTTCCAAATCTTTTATTTAGTATTTTAATTATTTATTACAGAAAAAAAAAAAAAAATCAGTAAGTTTATTTTAAAGATGCTCTTGATGCTTAATTTTTAAATTTTGGACTATAATTTGCATTTAGATCTCTACAGGAGAGACAAATAGGTAGCAAGGGAGGTGAGAACAGGCAACAGCTCAATGAGCCTGCCCTTTGGTGGGTCCCCGCTCAGAACTCAAGCTGGTTTTAGCTCAACTTGTGACATCACAGAGAGAACATATCTGAAGCATATCAGACTGGTCCCACCCGTACAGGCAGTCCAGATCCGAAATGCCAGCAAGTTCCCTCTGCACGAGAGATACGGCAACCCCGTATCTTTAATTCCAAGTTCAGTGAACCAATTCCTTGTCTACCTCAATATCTGGCAAACTTTCCCCAAAAGGAAACGGAAGAGATTAAAATACAAAACAGGCAGAAAAATTACGAGAAATGTAGGGAAAAAAGGCCCTCACCTTCTCGTATTGTCGATTTTGCAAGCTCCAAAGTTTCTTTATTTTTCTCTTCCACTAAAGTCTCAATTTCTTTCATTAAATTCCCAATTTCTTCAGATATTCTAGCTGCTGTCTCACGCTCTACCCTGAACAATTGCAAGATAAAAAAAAAAAAAAAAAACGGTTTCAATTAATTTTGATTGGCCTATTTATTTTGAGTTATACTTAGCAGTTCTAAAAAAAAAAAATGGAGCAACACAAGTTTCTTACTTTTGTTTTTCTCGTAGTCTTTTTGGCATTATATTTTCAGGAGTCCAGGCATCCTTGAAAACAATAAAGTATATACTTTTTAGCATTTGTGTCTCAAGAACAGAGCTGCGGAATGTTTTGGATCAACAGACATTTAGCAAGTTAGAACAATAATGGATAGTTGATCTGTGCAAATCTCTGTAGACCTCACATTATTATAATTAATGAACTACCAGGGAAATTCACAAAAGTATAAATACAATCCGTATTAGCAAAATCCAGTTAAAATAGCTAAATTACTGACAAATTTGCAAATCATATATTTACTATAGGCTAATGCAGTATATTGACAATATTTGCCAAGTTGCAATGTGGGCAGCAGGAAAATGGTTAAAATAATACATTAAATAAACTTTATATACATGAAAAACTAAATAATTACATTTTATTTTTTGAAATGTATAGGGACCCTCTGGAACTGACCCTTTCTCTCCAGAATGTAGATATCAAAATGCTGCCAGTTACAGTTAATCTAATGGTATACATAAAGCACCTGCTTGCAAATTCAACTCAACTCAATTTCCACCACTGGGTACCATATTTCAGTCGTTCCTGCGCATCCGGATATTTTGAAATCCAGTCTATATTTAAAGGGACACTATAGTCAACAGAACAACTACTGCTTATTGCATTTGTTCTGGTGAGTAGAATCATTCCCTTCATGCTTTTTGGACTAAACACTGTCTTTTCAGAGAAAATGTAGTGTTTAAATTACAGTGTAGGGATAACTCCATTGGCCACTTCTTATTTTTTATATTCTTTATTTTTGCGTGCAAATAACAAGCAGTTACAAATGAGTTTGTAATGCCCCAACAGCATATACTCAAGGTTGAACAATTATCAGTTAATTGGTAAGGCATAACATGGTTCTACAATGCACATATTTTGTTTTTATATAATAACCTGGAGATTAGTCGAGAAAAAAAAAAGTCATATTTGAAAACATGCTGGTATCAGTTAGCCCGAGACATTAATCTAAGCAACTTGAAACAGAAGACTGTGTGTGCGTGTCTACTAAAAGTAGAGGATGTTTGGGCAAACGTACTGTGTGCATGTCCAGAGTATTATGCAGACGGCTGTAATAGGCGAGGCACCATTCTGTATGTGTGTGAGTATGTAGGAAATTACCAACTGAAAAAAACTGATAAGGCTACGCTAAAAAAGGAAAGACATAAACAATAATTAGGCAGAGCGTAAGTAATTAACTTTAACGAAAATACAAGTGGTGTCACTGGACACCAACATCATCTGAGGGACAGTGTAGGAAAACGGGGGAAAGAGTTGTTGGAGACTGTCCACGAGGAGGTTGAGCGCAGTGGCCCCTAAGGCAACAAAACTAAGCATAACAGTCAGCCAATTCCGCTCATATAGTGGACACTGCCCCTGTAGTAACAATGGCACAAGACCTGCATAGCCGAATCCCGCCGTCCCCAGGTTTCAAATTAGTCCTTAGCACCATACCAAGGTGTTTTCTCTTGCGGTCAGTAGTGATCTTCTGAGGGTGTGGGTTGCGCTTGGTGAGGCGTCCTCCATTGAACCGCGGCCTGGGAAGGTAGCAGTCCAAGCCAGGGCCAAGCCTCCGTCGCCGCTGTGTCTGTCGGGGCACCAGCCTCCTTTCCGCCCTTTTCAATGTAGCGTTAGCGCGGTGTTCAGAAGGCATATGCTTGGTGTCGATATAGGCAAGATCCTGTTGAAATGCTAGCGTGTCTTCTGATCGTACTGCATGTCGCTTGATCCTGTGCCAGAGTTGTACTCACAGTCTCAAAGGCCTGGGATATCCGTTCCTCCATTGTGTCCCATAGATTGGACGCAGGAGTGGCAGTAGGCTCTCCAGCGGCAGCCATATTGCCGTGCTGTTTGAGAGTAGGCAGCTCCACTGTTTCTGCCGGTTCCAGAGCACATGAGTAAGTCTGCACCTCTTTGGGGATTGGGATAACCCTCACTGATCCGGGCGGGGGAGAGGGGTAGGAGCCCGTCTCTCCCCATCTTCCATGCCTTTAGGCCGCATGTTGTGGTGCCGGCTTCCCGCATCCAGTGGCGTTGAGTAAGGTGTCCCCAGAGTCGTCTGTTTACTCCCCCACTGCATGGAGTGCATGTTGGGGTTCGCTCTGTTTTTGTGGCTGACACCGTGGGAGCGCTCTCGGCACGCGTCTGTTCGGCTCGGCTGCTAAGCTCCGCACCCCCACTGGCCACTTCTTATATGGCTACTAGAGGTGCTTACTGGGGCAGTACTGCAGTGTGCAGCACTGTCATTTAGCGTCTCCACCCTCTGCATGGAGACACTGAGTTTTCCTCACAAATGCATTGATTCAGTTAATCTCTATGAGGAGATGCTGATTGCTCAGGGCTGTGTTTGACTTGTGCTCGCTCTGCTCCTGATCTGCCTCCTTGACAGTCTTAGCCAATCCTATGGGAAAGCATTGTGATTGTCTCAGACCACCACTTCTGATGATGTCAGCAGACAGCAGGCAGGTCAGAGACAGTAGCTGCAGACTTGAATACAAGTAAGATTTTACTTTATTTAGGGAGGCCTGGGGAGCTGGATGGTGGTTTTAACAAACATGTTTGTGTTCCTGACCCTATAGTGTTCTTTTAAGGTAAATTGGAGGCTGTATTGCAAAATCAAGACATTAATAAATATTGATAATTCAGAATAAGTGCAAAGTGAATATAGTAAAAAGAATTTACTGAACTTCAACATTTAGGCCAAAAATAACAGATTTGGAAATAGTTTCTGCTAGAATCACAATTTGGATGTTTAAACCTAAATGTTGCAATTCAGTAAATTCTTTTTACTATATTTTTAATTTGATACAATTCAATGTTTACTGAATAAACCTGACAGGTATTATCACTAAACCATGAATTGTTGGAAATTCACTAGGAAGTTGCATGTTTTAAGGCAAACTAGTCAAATTAGAGAAATTAGAGAAAACTTTCAATGTCAAGCTACTTGGCCTAATATTTGCAATATCCTGCTAAAACCTTAACAATTCGCAATTAAGTGAAAATCCCGCAAAACTGAGGATTCTGTTGTAGTGAATAACCCTGACAGTAACTTCGGACCACATGACCCATTTAACCAGTAACTGTTCTGCAATATATAGACTGCATGCAGCACCTTAAATAAATATTCTGGTCTGTGAAGTTCCCTGAGCGGTTCAACATGGCCTATTTACAAATGAAGGGCTGATTTTCCTTTATTATCATAATGACGTATCTGCTGGGCCCCCAAATCCTTCATTACTTCATTCTTAAAACACCTACATAAAAACCTGTAATTTGCATTTGCCTTTTTCTTAACTATGAACAGACTATTCCAGATTCTGTTAACACTCATTCTTTAGTCATTACGGTCTGCCACCAACAGCAAAAACCCTGACGTACAAAGTCATCGCAGATGGTAGAAGATCTTTTTAGAAAATACAACAAATCTCAACACAATTTAATTCACTGCTCTCTTACAACATGACAATGTTACTTGTGTGATAAATTCACTCTGACGAAAAATCTCCTCACTTTTATTTAACTCCCAAAGTTTCTCTGCGTCGTCATGTGTTTTAGTACTCCCAAACCAAACATTGGCAACATGTTTCTAATCACTGCCAACTGCTGACTTTTCAAGTAAGACCCCAGAATAGATGCAGTCTGTATGTTTGGGGGCGTTTAGGACAAAAAAAAAAGGGAACTAAAAGCCAAGATAGGGCAGAATGGACGAGTAATGAACAGACGCAGTTATCTGAACCCAATCATTGCTTGTAATATTTACCACCAGTATTTGTACAACGTAGGATAATTTCGGTGGCCAAATATGACTGTATATGCAGAGATCAGACCAGTAAATTTGAAGACAGACTTTATGGCATCTAAAACAAGTGAGGTGAGTCGTGCATTGATGTTATTAACCTTGATCAATGCACATGAAGCGTTCATACAATATACAATATTAATCACATTTTTAAGCAAATTTACACCTTGTATGCCACCTGATACTCACAGGGTCTACAAAAGCAATTCCAAAGTTTTCATAAGCAAAGTAGAGCAATTCTTTCTCCAACAGGCTGCGCTGAATGTACTTCTTTACGTCCTGAAAATGTAAAGCAATCCACAGTTACCATCATGTAATAGAGCATCTACAGTAAGCAGGCCCTAAACAAATCAAGGGGCTTATTCGCTAAACATACTAAATTGAACTCCAATCTGCCACAATTCAGGCTAAAAACAGCCAAGTCTGGGAAATGTTTCCAAATCACCATGTTTTAATCTAGATATTGCAATTTGGTTTTGAAGTAAATACAGTTCACTGTTTAGTAAATAAAGCCCCGATTTTAGTTATTCTGCAGTTTCTTAAGTTTCCCTGTTCAAAAAGACAAATACAGTGTCAGGATAGTATTATTATTAATTAATATATAATAAGTGTGAAAGCAGAATTACAAGGTACTGTGCAAGTATGATATTAATTGTTTATTCTGAGGCTTCAGTGGGTGAGAACAGCTCGAACGGTCCCTACCGACTGACGGTCCCTCCATAGTAAACAAAATGAGAGGCTGTAGCGGAGTAGTAGTATTATCCACGGTATCTCCGCTGGTAGACAGGATGAAGCAGGTAAAATGTAGGTAAAATGCAGGTAGCGTAATTACAATCCTTTTCTACCAAGAACTAGGCAACACGTAGCTTGGAGGTCAACTGAGGGCTTTACTGAAAAGTCACCACATTTATACTGTATCCCATGCAAGGGGTTTCTCAACTGTTACAGCAGGGGTTTTAATCAAGTGGACTGTGTGGGAAACTGACCATGCAAGGTCATTTCCCAGCATTCCCTAGTGTACCTATTGGGACTCTGTTGACATCAGCAGGCACAATTAATCACATTAATAGCTAGTACAGTAAAAGGTAAAATGTTACATTAAATACCATAACTTCAACAATTTCCCATAGATTCACATGAATGACCTCTTATTAGACTGCGGGGATCGGAGTGTATAAATCTAACGAATTACCGCTCTGATCCCTGCAGAATTAACTGAACGCCACACATAACATGAGTTTAAGTGAATGAGGGTTTACAAGAGAAAACACACAAAATGCTTCAGTTTGCCGAAGGAGCGAGTTTCCCGAACGGCCTGGAAGTCCAGCGGTGTCTGGAAGTCAGGTAGCCGATTTTAGTTCCAGGCACTCGACAACCAAACACCGCTGAACTTTTAGCGAGCAAAGATGGCCACCGCCACGTGTTTGGTATACGAACGACGGCCACCCGGGAAACTCATTAGCAAGCGTTTGAAACAATGTTGCAACACCTTAATGAGCGACACACGACCGCTTCGGTGTGGTCTGCTGTTCGGTACTTTTATTTCACGAACAGAGTAAGAAGTTACTGTTCGTGAAACTTTCTATGGAATGCTGGCGGCTATTCGTGCCGTTAGCATACAAAAGCATATACAAGCTGCAAGGTCCTTTTATCCGAATTGGATCAGTTCACTGTACGAATGGTATTTGTTCTTTTACAGTCTGAGGTGGCATACATTTGCCACATAGGGTTACTGGATTAAGGAGAGCAATGAAGCTAATACAAAATATTTGGGATACTGGCTCTGACATCTTCCCATAATATGTAATGCGCACGGCAGAACCTTCCTTTCACCATGCTGTATGCATTATCAACCATTCCTTTCATGATACCTTACCAACCGGTTTTGTCTAACACTTTATATCAAACTGAGAAGTTTGGCAGATGGTTAGGATTATGAAGGTTAAAATGGAACGTTTATTAATGGTACCTGAAAATTAGTAGAACTACATTCAATAATGCAATAAGCCAATCTAGCAAAAACAATAAAACATGAAGAAAAAAAAAAAGGAAATATAAAAAGGGGAAAATAATAAATATAACTGATTCGATTTCCTATCAATATAATTCCAACCATTTAGAGAATGATTAACAAATAATTAACATGAGTACCCAAATAGAAAATCTTAGACACAATTTTTCATAGAATCAGTGTTGTAAATTGTTATAGAATATTGCACTATAACCTCCCTCAATTATTCCTATTGAGTCACTAGGAACAGTGGAAAACTTAATTGAATTAAAAAAAAACAAAAACCAAGAAAAACTACATTGGCAGTATTTGTTCACTGGCCTTCACAACCCACATTACAGGATTTGCGCTATTTAGCGTATCCCATAGTCAATCTTTAGATGGCTATTGGGCAGTGAAAAACAATTCCTCTTTAACCACTTAAGGACACAACCTCTGGAATAAAAGGGAATCATGACGGAATATTCCCGTCATGTGTCCTTAAAGGACCACTATAGTGCCAGGAAAACATACTCGTTTTCCTGGCACTATAGTGCCCTGAGGGTGCCCCCACCCTCAGGGTCCGCCTCCCGCCCGGCTCTGGAAGGGGGAAAGGGGTAAAAACTTACCTTTTTCCAGCGCTGGGCGGGGAGCTCTCCTCCGATCCTCCTTCTCTCCTCCCCGTCGGCTGGCTGCGCGCGCATTCAGCCGGTCACATAGGAAAGCATTCATAATGCTTTCCTAGGGACGCTTGCATGCTCTCACTGTGAAAATCACAGTGAGAAGCACGCAAGCGCCTCTAGCGGTTGTCAATGAGAGCCGCTAGAGGAATTGGGGGAAGGCTTAACCCATTCATAAACATAGCAGTTTCTCTGAAACTGCTATGTTTATGAAAAAATGGGTTAACCCTAGAAGGACCTGGCACCCAGACCACTTCATTAAGCTGAAGTGGTCTGGGTGCCTAGAGTGGTCCTTTAAGGGGTTAACAACTACTGTAGTTGTACCTCTATATCAACAATATAGAAATAGAATGTTAAAGAGGCACTCTAAGAACTATAACTGCAAAAACTCAGCTGTCAATCAGCCAAGGCAAAATTAATGCTCAGTTACAACTGCATGCAATGTGTGCACAGTGCACCAATAATATGGAACAAAATATCTACTTCCAGGACAGAGAGAAAGCCGTAGATCACAGCTCTGCCAATCGCTGAAGACAGCTTTGTTCATTAGCTTTAACAGTAAATGTGCTGCATAGGATGGCTCTTGGGGGGATAAACTACTTATCCCATAAATCCTGGTGGAGAGGTGAATCCGCTAAATGAAGCACTGAGAGAAACACTGAACAGGGTATATATTTTTTATATGCACTTTTTAATGTATTGTCTTTATCATGCATAAAAGAGAATTAGATCACCCCATAAATTCCCCTCTATAAAAGGCATTGCCAGGATTAACATTTTAATTTCACTCTTTTTATTGGGTGAGCTGACTCCTAATCAGACACACATACACTGCCCTTTTAAAATATACCAATAGCCTCGGAGTCTATTGAGAGAATACAAAGGTGCACAATTTGCACTTGCTTGTAGATTAGTATAGTTTTTACCACTTACCTCCCTTGCGTTAATTAAACTTGCATCTTTCTCCCCCAGAACCACAGAGTAATAAGCCATATTCTGATTCATAACCTCATCTTCTGGGTAGAACAGTAGGTACGTTTTTGCACATTCAATAGCTTGTGTGTAGTTCTCGGCTGTAAGAAAAGCATAGGTAGATTTTAAAAATGTTTTTTTTTTTTTTTTTTTAATGAGTGGATAATTGGTGTTTTAGGTTTTGTAAGGGAGTATATTTATAATAAAAAAAAAAAAATCCTTAATATTTATTTAAAAGGAGCCAACCATTTACAATGATAGTCTATATAGTTACTATATGTCTCCCAATAGAAGACGTACATGTTTATATATGCAGTGTTCTTTATTTATGAAACATATGAACATTGATTGCAGGTAAGCAATTAGGGTTAAGCAATAAATGTAGAATTTTATTGTAATGCCATTCATATATTCACTAATGAGTGAACTAAAAAACAAATAAACACATTTTATTAAAGGGTTACTCTAATCGTTTGGAGGGGGCAGGGGGGGGGTTTCTCTGTGTAAAATACCCTATTGGGCACTATAAATTAAGATCCTCCATACTTACCTGAAATCCAAACTTTTAGACTTGACATCATAGGGTGTCTCATTCAGTCCAATCTCATGTTTCTGGGATTGGACCGTTTTGCCAGTTCAGAGCACATGCGTGCGATCTGAGTCAATGAGGGAAGGGAATGGAAATGAATGGGTAGAGAGAGTGCGGGGGGATTTCAATTCAAATATATAAAAAAGGCCTATACAATTAGCAAAGGGAGACGAAAAACAAAAAAAACAAAAAATCAACACAACTACCTTCCCCTTGTAGGTATCTGACATACAATATGACAACAGATAGAAATAAAATGCATAGAACTAACATTAGGCAGCTTTGAACAAAGTTCTTGGCTGCCTAAGTCATGTGTACTGGGGGGGAGCAACTTGCCCTGGGAACACATTATTTAGAAAAGAAAAAAAAAAACTCAGCATGTGCAGTGTTTCAATCATACACTGCACATATAGACTCCTACCACCATGACTACTTCAGTGGTCTTGGTTGTTGGAGTTACCCTTTAAGTTGGGGGGGTAGGGGAATGATTTTCTTACTTGGCCAAAGTATACTAACTTTTTGAAAAAATGTTTTATTACTTCAACAATTCAGTGTTCTGTGAATAAACCTAGCTCACTATGAAAAGGAAAAAAATAGCAGAATTTCCACAGTCTTAACCTAGTCTGTCCGCAGTGTCTTATTTACACTCAATCTATAGGACTCGTTAAGTCATACAATTGTAATATCAAAAAAGTATCAAGCACTTGTGTTACAGTGACAGGTCTTTATTTTAAAAACAATATGTTTTTTGGGGAAAAAAAAAAACCTCATGTGAGCTGTAGTTAATCTGGGAAATAAGACATGATCCCACTTATTTGCAGACCGATGGGATCAGCCTATTACCGCCATCCAAATGTGGAGGAAAATCGATTTTGCCAATACATTAGAAACAAGCGGACAGGGGGCTGGGCAGTGGGTTCCTTGGGGACCCCAGTTCTGGTCAAACTGATGGACAAAACTTTGACCCAGAAGCAGCAGACTCTGCCTATAACCTATTAGCATCATGACCACTACAATGGCATGTTGTTGTTATGGTGTTTACACTTCTTTCTTTTCAAGCTAAACAATTGTATTCCTGTCTGAAGGTGGGCTTGTGAGAGGCAATAACACTTTACTATAAATATTATTTTTGGCATTAGGATAGTGAACTTACTGCTGTAATATGCAAACTGCAGGTAGTGATAGTGAGATGGAAGGAAGTCGGGAATAGGTTTTTCACGACCTGGGTGTGAAGCAAGTTCGGAGACACAGCTCTGCCTGCAGCTCATCACCTGTACATAGTGATCTGAAAAGCAAAACACAGCTTTATGCCAGGACACTTATATTTCTTAGTTATTAATGTTCATGGACTAAACTTCTCAGCCGTCAAAAATTAATGTTAACGCTCGGATATAGAAACGGTTTGTTAAAAATAGAAAACTGAGCCACATGTATTGAAAAGTTTAGTATTACTATCATTGTGTACTGTCTCTTTAATGAATTAAACCATGCGCAGACTGGCAGAACATATTTCAGGAACTTTGCATCATCCACCACCACGTCAGAGCTACTGGCCACCCTGTTCCTCCTCCCTCTTTCCCACTGGCCGTACCTGTAATGCTCTGGAATAAGTCTGCGCTGTAATCCATATAATTATAGCCGTCATAGTCATACGGTCCCTCGCAGAGGCTCCGGCACTCAAGATCGGCTACAAAATATTCCTCCAGGGCGGTTTCTAAATGTGCAATAGAAGAGGCGAACTCCTCGTCTGAGTAGTCGGTCACTCCCAGACGAAACTCTTGCTGGTATAAATAATATAGAATGCAAATATATCTTGGTGTTCATTTGCCAACTTATGGGGAATTAACAAAGAATTAGCACATTCTTGGAAAGTTTGCAGTTAGTCCTAAACAGTTCATAGTTTGGTGAAATCACACTATTGGGCCCTGGATGCCTAAGAGTTTGATATTTTTAATTTATTTTTATTTCTGTGACCAAAATTATTTTTCCTTTCCCTTCCTCTCAATGAAGAATAAATAAAAAAATAAAAAATAAAAAAATAATCAATAATACACATTTTGAAAACAAAAACACAAAATAATAAGGTATTGGTAATTTCGTGTCATTTTTATTTTGCTTTCTCTTTGTCTAGTTTAATATTTGTTCTAGTAATAAGCACAATTCTACGTTATTCTGTAAGTATACACCATGCCTTGCATTCCCCCAAAGCAATCTAATCTCTTACACGGTGCTCTGTAATCCGGAGCATTGGATATACAGGTGATACTCGAAAAATTAGAATATCATGCATAAATTCACTTATTTCAGTAATGCAACGTAAAAGGGGTAACTAATATATGAGATAGACGAAATACATGCACAGCAAGATAGTTCAAGCCGTGATTTGTCATAAGTGCGATGATTATGGCTTACAGCTCATGAAAATCCCAAATCCACAATCTCAGTAAATTAGAATATTACATGCAATCAATAAAACAAGTAGTGTACATAAAACAATATCGGACCTCTCAAAAGTATAAGCATCCATATGGACTCAGTACTTGGTTTGGGCCCCTTTTGCAGCAATTACTGCCTCAATGCGGAGTGGCATGGAAGCTATCAGCCTGTGGCACTGCTGAGGTGTTATGGAAGACCAGGATGCTTCAATAGCGGCCTTCAGCTCTTCTGCATTGTTCGGTCTCATCTTTCTCTTGGCAATGCCCCATAGATTATCTATGGGGTTCAGGTCAGGCGACTTTACTAGCCAATCAAGCACAGTAATCCCACGGCCACTGAAACAGGCTTTGGTGCTTTTGGCAGTGTCGGCAGGTGCCAAATCCTGCTGGAAAATGAAGTCAGCACCCCCATAAAGCTCGTCTGCGGAAGGAAGCATGAAGTGCTCCAAAATCTCCTGGAAGACTGCTTCGTTGACCCTGGACTTAATGAAGCACAGTGGACCAACACCAGCAGATGACATGGCTCCCCAAATCAACACAGACTGTGGAAACTTCACACTGGACTTCAAGCATTTTGCAGTGTGTGCCTCTCCATTCTTCCTCCAGACTCTGGGTCCTTGGTTTCCAAATGAGATGCAAAAGTTGCTCTCATCAGAAAAGAGGACTTTGAACCATTGAGCAACAGACCAGGTCTGTTTTTCTTTAGCCCCGGTAAGACGCTTCTGGCGTTGTTTGTTGATCAGGAGCGGCTTGATAAGAGGAATACGACATCTGAAGCCCATGTCCAGGATCCGTCTGTGTGTGGTGGCTCTTGATGAACTGACTCCAGCTTCAGTCCACTACTTGTGAAAGTCCCCAACACATTTGAATGGCCTTTTCCTGACAATCCTCTCCAGGCTGCAGTCATCCCTGCTGCTTGTGCACCTTTTTCTTCCACATAACTTTCTATTAATGTGCTTTGGTACAGCACTTTGGGAACATCCAACTTCCTTCGCAATTACCTCTTGAGGCTTTCCCTCCTTATGCAGTGTGTCAATGACGGTTTTCTGCACAACTGTCATGTCAGCAGTCTTCCCCATGATTGTGATTCCTACTGAACCAGACTGAGAGACCATTTAAAGGCTCAGAAACCCTTTGCAGGTGTTATGGCTTACTTAGCTGATTAGAATGGGACACCGTGAGCCTAGAATATTGCACCTTTTCACAATAATCTAATTTACTGAGATTGTGGATTTGGGGTTTTCATGAGCTGTAAGCCATAATCATCGCACTTATGACAAATCACGGCTTGAACGATCTTGCTTGGCATGTAATGCGTCTATCTCATATATTAGTTTCCCCTTTTACGTTGGATTACTGAAATAATTTAACTTTTGCACGATATTCTAATTTTTCGAGTATCACCTGTATGTCAAACAACAATATACAGGTAGCGTCAAGAAAATACTCTAAACACAATAGTGTATAATAATTAGAGCAACAAAAAAAATATTGCTCTTATTATATACAATTGTGTTTGGAGTATTTTGCTTGGCACTACCTGTATATTGTGGTTTGATTTGTTCCACTTTTCTTGGGGGTTGGAGGAATTCCCCTATGGTCAGGTGTGCTGTCTTCCATCCTAGTGTTCTTAGTTTGTTTAGCCCGCTCTATTCCTTGTTCATTTGATATATATTCACATACCATGTGAGGCTTGGCTTCCAGGTCTCTGAAGTCCGAGTCTTTTACTCCTGCCATCATTTTATAATATTCCAAATTCTGTCTCATTTCCAGGTGATCGGGATTCACCACGTAAAACGTGTGAGCGGCAGCTACTGCTTTGTCAATCTTGTGGATCTAAAAGGAAAGAGATACAGTTAGGCGCGAAAAGATAAGACCTAAAGACAGGATGGGACACAGTGATCAGCAGGTCCCTGTCAAATTATAAAAGTTGATAGTGGATCATAGTGCAGTATGTAGAGGTGAGTGGAAACAAAAATCACTTCTTTTAAAAGATATTTGTTTAAATAATTATTCCAAGCACCAACACCAAAATAATAAAATTAAATAATTAAAGAAAAATAAATAAACATGGATTGAATGACCATTGGTGAAAGTGAGGACATATAGGAATTCTGGAAACATGCTCACACATTCCTGCGTCCTGGCTTATGGGTTTACGGGTTAATCGCTCGAACAAATGACACCAGAAATGTTATAGTAGTTAGACTGAAGCAAACATCTAAAAAGAACAGAGAGTTATTAAGACAGATGTTAGTAGGATACAGCAGAGTAAATGACAATAAGCGCTCGGACTCAAGCGTGAGATTCCACCTAAATTTTGCTATCTGTTTTAATATATAGTTTCAGAGATTGGCATTGTACTATTATTTGCAGTATTACGTTAATTAGAATGTCTCCATTGAAGCAGGGTTTACGACACCCAGCTACCGCAGAAACTGGATGTTAATCCAGCCGCTCATTCATTGGCTTGGAGAGGCAGCTGACCACTCTCAGCCAATGAATTAGTATCTGTGCATCTAAATTTGCACAGAATTTAAATTAGTCAATGCTAGTTGGCTAATGATGCCCCATGACACTGCCAAAGCTATACCTCGTTATGTGAAGCATTTCACAGCAAAACACTGCAAAGACCTACTCCAGGCACCATGACTACTTCAAATCACCATTTGATATAGATAATCATACCTAAATATAGATTGTGTTGAAAATTCTCCATTTGACTTTGAAGGTCCAAAGATTGTTTATATTTTCATACAAATCTGGTCATCGGATGTATCAATTCCTAATTCAATATGGATTATTCGCTAAACCAGATACTGATCAGGAAATTATAAATTGTAGCCCAAAATAGTCAAATTAGAAACAGCTGGATAAGAAAACATTTCCAATTGTGAATAACCCTGAGAGAGTCCGTCACTTTGTGGGACATTAAACCGGAGAAACAATGTAAAAACATTGCCACATTTGCAAACTCCCATAAATCCCAGTCAAGGAGGCACAGTCCTGATTACAGGCTCCAGTGCCACCATCTCAGAAGTGGGACATTTTCCATCTCAGAAGAGGGACACATGTTCCCAATCATCACCTAAAATTTCTCCGAACAGTCCCACCCTGAGCAAACCCCACTGACACCCCTAAAATCAAAGCCTCTCTCTTTGTCCATTTGAAATATTGGGAGTTATGCTGACAAGCAAAGAGGAGAAAGACAAACAGGAAGTGGGTTTTCCATTAGTGTAACACTCACAATGTCAAAGGCATTGAGGCGCTGGACCAGAGGGGAATGTATGTCAAACTTTTACAGTGAATCTATATGAATATAAGTTTGATATTAATAGCCTAAGGGGGGAGTGGGGGGGATTCATGCTAAATTTAACCTGCCATGACATGTTCACTATAATGGCTTTTTGACAAGGACCAAAATGATGACCATGGAATTTGCTTTGTGACTCATTCTCCAGGTTTCATAAAATAGAATGGAAAAAAATAAACTTGCGGAAATACTTTTATAGGACTAGTGTCTCTGTTGCTTTGGGCCAGCAGATCTGATGCAGTGACAAGTCATTGTGGGCAATTGCCTGGGTCATATATCTGTGAGACGGGCTGGACTGCAGGTGCCAAGGCAACCCAGGCCAGTGTCTAACTGTATGAAAAAGGTTTAACTCTAAAGAGTGAAATGGCACACTGGCATGATAACAACATTGTGTGACAGTGGTAATGGTGTTTAGAGTGTCGCTTAAATTCTACCTGGTGGGCAACATATAGCAAATCAAACCTGCACTCAAAATTATTTTTCTAAACTAGTGACTGTATATTTTCTATCTCTCTGAGGGTAAGTGCGAGCACAATAAACAAAAAAAAAAGGTAGGTTGATTTCTAGAAACTAAATTCAAAATTGCAAGAAATTCATGAGTCATATACTGGGGAAAATAATGAAAAAGTTAGTATGAATAAATATTAATACATAGATCTGGTTTTAATTCGGCTATTTTGGCATAAATGTAAAATCCACTTTTAAATTCCCTACAATCATTACCCAACAGCTGACTTGAAGAATGATTCCATTTAGTTATTTTGGTCTAAAATTAGAAATTTGCTATGAATTCCTGACAATTCGCAATTTAGTAAATAATACAGTGGCTGTCTGAGGAAAGGGGAATGTCTCTTTAAAATTCCTTACTGTGGGAGAGAGAGCAGCCCACAGCTTGTACTATTAGAGGCTTTCCCCACCTCAATACGTGGCAGTGCATTGAATGGGGGAGGGAAGGCATCTTATAACTCAGTATGCGAACTCTAGACATGTACCCCTTGAAGAGTATGCTGGGATTGATTTAAACAGAGAGCATTTATTTAAGAGAGAGCATTTTATTTTTATAAACATGTAACAGGCAAGATCTATTGTTTCACTTGCTGTGGATTGTAGCTCTCATAATGCACAATCTGAGTTTAAATCAGGGATTGCTAATCTTAGTACTGCAGGTTTTGAGAATCCCATTTCACATAATGCTCAGCCAGATTTTATTTTACAAGTTTTATCACCGATCTACAGACTGGAGAAAAAGTTATATAGGCAGACCTTCAGGCTACTGTTCATCTATGTACTAGGGATGGATTACCAGACACGTGTCATCAGGTTAACCCATTGTAATCCTTGGCTTTCCAATAACCACGTATCTGCAGATGAGAGCATCGTTATATGTATAATGAGCAATTCTGGGGCAACGTTCTAAGTAGAACAGTCACCATGGAAACCAATGGAATGTTGCAACTGATTGCTCCAGTTTTAGAACCAATACTTACTCTTACATATAACCCCCTTATAGTCAGTACATTTTACTGCACACATCTTGGGTACATACGAAGTGCTATCAAAGGAGGACAGGCAGATGTTCAGATTAACATTTTCACTACCATTTCTGTAGATAGACTCATAATCAACTACCTATAGTTTATATATTATTGCAAAATGGAAATATTTACACAGTGATGACTAAACATTATCAGAGTGTTGGAGAGCTAGAGTTAAAAGTTTTAGTAACCAATGGCCTTTACCACCCTGCAAGCTCTGCATTTCACAGCAGATTAAATCAGACTATCCCTTAAAATGCCAGCATTGCCACCCCCCATGCACAGCAGGTAAATGATGAAGATACAAAGCAGCGATGAGAGGTGAATATCTGTATTATCTACTGTGGCCAGGTTAAAAAGCAGACTATGGAAACAAAAAAGTTAAAACCAGGCAGGGGTACCATCTCTGTCGGGATGCCATTCCATGCACAGAAGACCATTGTTGGTGATATTAAGAAGTGTTATGTTACACAAGTAGCTACCTTGAAATAGGCCACTTGGAGGTAATTGTATGGGGTCCTCTTCTTAAATTCCTGCTCCATCTCCTCTGCAGCCAGGAACATGCTGGTGGGGCCCCCCGTCTTCTCCAGCTCGCACCGTGTCAGGCACTCAGCCCTGGCCAGCACAGTGCGGAAGAAGGAGAGGTCCTGCACGGGTCCCCAGCTGGGGGGCTGGCCGGTGAAGTCGCTCTGGTTAGCGCAGTGCATCCTGCAGCTGATCCGGTGGCGGCGGAGGAGCTCCCGGTTCCGCAGTGCCTTCTCCATGGACAGGATGACGGACGGCCAGTCGTTGCGGTGATACGCCTCCACCCCGCTGTCGTACAAGAAGTCGTAGGGCTCCATTGGGGCGGCCAGGAGCGCAGTGCAGAGCGCGAGCAGGGAGAGGGTCCCAGGGAGCAGCAAGGAGGGCGCCATGACGGAGACCAGGAGCAGGACAAGTGAGCCAGCACCGCTGGACTAAACCACGCCCACTGTGCATAGCCCATAACCACGCCTCTTAACGCGTTACCCCGCCCACTGTGCATATCCCCAGCAGCCAGCGCACAGCCCATAACCACGCCTCTTAACGCGTTACCCCGCCCACTGTGCATATCCCTAGCAGCCAGCGCATAGCCCATAACCACGCCTCTTAACTCATTACCCCGCCCACTCTATGGGATCGAGCTGATTTACAGCCTGAAACCCCGCCCCTTAGCTATAACCTCGCCCACTTAACTACTTCAGGAGAACCTACAAGCCACATGCCAGCCTGCAGCATGGAGCCACGCCCATTCATTATAGCCCCGCCCACTACCCCAACCTAATGCCCAAGGCAGGGAATAGTTGTAGATTATAAAGAACTTTACCAAATATAACACAATATTATTATTATTATTATTATTATTTATAAAACGCCAACAAATTCTATGGTGCTGTCCTTGGATACACCGGGGCACCGTGAATTTATATAAAAATACAAACAGCAAAGCTAAAACAATAATAGTGCAGTATTGTACAGAATATTTTAACACGCGTTATATTCACCGCTGTATTTAGCACGATGCTGACAAGGCATTTGCCTTGTGGAGCACTTTCCTGGGGGTGGCAAAAAAACGCCACCCCAAATGCCCCAGCAAACGCCTTGTCATCCTCTTGTCATGGGAGGCCTAAGAGCTGGCCGGCTACCGACCTTGGGCCCCGTCTTTAGGCGGGAGATAGCGCATATTCCAGGCTGGCGGCGAGAGAGCGCTGTCCTATGAGCTTTTCTTGCTCACTTCCTCGCACGCCCTGCAGTGATCCCGGGAGATGGAATATAACATCAGTCCGGCTCCTGGCATCACTAAGCGGCACGCAAGGGAGCAGAACAACAAAAGAACGGCTCCCTCGCCAACAACATTGACCAACACCCTGCCCGTGCATCTGTCAGTGTGTGTGTCTCTCAGTGTGTGTCTGTCAGTGAGTGTGTGCAGATGTCTGTCAGTGAGTGTGTGTGTCTTTCAGTGATTGAGTGTGTGTGTCTCTCAGTTTGTGTGTCTATCAGTTAGTGTGTGTCAGTGAATATGTGCGGGTCTCTGTCAGTGAGTGGGTGTCTGTCAGTGAATATGTGTGTCTATTAGAGTTTGTAAAATCAGTTAGGATATGTGTGTATGTCACTGTGCGTCTGTCAGTGAATGTATGTCAGTGTATGTGTATCTTAGAGTTTGTGCCTGTCAATGAGTGAGTGTGTCAGTGTGTGTGTGTGTATGTGTCTGTCAGTGAAAGTGCGTGTTGGTTAAACAGTGTGTGCCAATGACTGTGTATCTGTCAGTGAATGCATGTCATTGCATGCATCGGTGAGGGCGTGTGTCTGTCAGTCAAAGTGCGTGCTGGTCTTAAATACGAAGAGGTGTGGCCCTGACAGGAAGTGATGGGACATATTTAAATTAGTGGGTGCCAGAGGTTAGTCTTGCCTAGGGCAACACAAAACCAAAATACACCACTGGTTATATTATATTATATTCTATACAATACTGCACTATTATTATTGTGTTGATGCTTGTTTTTTTTATATAAATGTACGGTGCCCCAGTGTACACAGGGGGTAATTGTTATTTGTATTTATCAGCGTTTCACACACACTTTTTGTTTTTGGTGGGGCTTATCACTTAAACATTAAGTTTTTGGTATTTTCTATATTTGTGGAATTTAAGGTGTATCACAGAGTGTTAGAGATGCTATAACCAAATGTTATATACCAGTTACATTATTTACCATTTATTAAGTGCCTTTGTCACATATTATATTGTTATATTGTATTGTTTTACGTTAGAACACTATATTACTCATTTCTTTTATTTATTTTTTCTAAAAATGTATTCGTGGTAAATAATAATTTCTTATCTCAAGAAAGATAAGCCTTACTTCATATTCTCCAGCAGCATACACTTCAGATCAACACCAACTAGCTCCTTGGGGCAGACAAATCCCAGTTATCCTGGCCGGTCCCACTTAGGGCTGGGCATGGCAGAATGCTGTTACAGTGTTCTGAGCATGGGCTTAGTATTGTTAGTGTACCGTGCGTCTAACAAAAGTGGGGCACCAGGGAACAAATGGCAGGGCAGGAGCCCTAAATTGGTGCAGTGCCGCGGAACTCTGCCTTTATTCCAAAACCCAGACAGCCTCCTCATTGCAATCCGGTCCTCCTCCATTGAAGTCACCAAGACTAATGCTTTTCCTGGAGAAGCATTGAGGAGACAATGCACGTGCACAGCAATCTCTGTGATTCATCAATGTCTCTAAAAGAAGTGCTAAATCCAATGCTTCTCATAGAGATCAGGCTGCAGATTCAGTACCAGAATATATTTTAGGCAGATCCCACTATTGGTTGTTTATCTTTTAGGCATTGCCAAATGTAAACTGGCACCAAGGATACAGGGGCAGCCAATATGCCTCAAAATCACGATGACATGATTTTTGTGCTTCAACTGTCCCTTTAAGGCTGGGGTTTCAGATTACCAGCCCATGTACCTCCCACAGAGAGGAAGCAGCTGGCATCGCAATTACCAGACTTTATGGTCAGACACCTGCAAACCATTGCCAGATATTCAATGAGACAGTCTTATAATTTTCCTGCTGGCTGCTTTCTAATTAATATAGTGTGGTCGACTGACACCCAGACTGGTAGGGTGATCCAGCACACAGCTACTGTCTATTGCGTGTAAAGATGGTGGGAACATGATGTAATCTCATATCCCTGCTAACTGTCTACACCTTGGGTGTGAGATTCTCAACGGAGAGTCCTGTCAGTGGGATTATCTCTCTCTCAGGAGCCATTTAGCCACGCTACATTGTATCTGTGTTTGTGTACTGGAGTGTATGTGCACTTATGAAAATCTCAGTGTTTCAAAGGAAAGGTGTAGCAAAATGATCAGGTAATGTCCAAAAAATTAGAGCAGCTATTGACCACATTGAAGGTGCTTTCGATGGTGGACAGGGGTCATTATGGGCACTCTGACTAGACTACGGTTATGCAGCCCAAAACTGTGATGCACTGTGTGTTCTGACACCTTTCTATTATGGCCAGCATTCAGTGTTTCGGCAATTTGAAAAACAGTAGCTCTTCTGTGTGAACAGACCAGCTGGGTTAGCCTTCTTTCCCCATGTGCATCAATGAGCCTTGGACACCTTTGAACCTGATGCCGGTTCACCAGTGTTCCTTCCTTGCACCACGTTTGGTAAGTACTAACCCCTGCATACCAAGAACACTTGCTGTTTTGGAGATGCTCTGACCCAGTAATTTACCCATCACTATTTCACCACATGAAATTCAAGAACTGACTGTAAACTTGCTGCCTAATATATTCCACCCCTTAACAGGTGCCATTGCAACAATATAATCAATGTTATTTACTTCACTTGTCAATGGTTTTAATGTTGTGGATCATGATCAGTGTAGTAGACAGTGTATGAAAACTGAAAGTCACTATGGTCTTCCCTGTTTCTGGGCAGGGAGTGAAGTTGGGAAAATCACAGAAGTATGTTACATTAATTAAAAAAAAAATATATATTTTCTTTCAATAACAGATGAAAGGTTTATTATATTAAAAAATATTTGTGAAGTGATAGTTGTACTTTAATTTTAGGTGTGTGGGTGGGGGCAGTGGCATAGCATGGGTTGCCTACTCCTATGGCAAGACAAGTATTGCACCCCCAAACCAGTGCAGATACATGCATAGACACACAGATACAGATACACACTGATACACAGATTCACACACAGACATGCAGATACGCACACAGACACACACAATGACACACAGATACACATTGACACACACATTCACATACAGATACATACACTGTCATACAGATACACACACTGACACATTCACACACTGACACACAAATACACTCACCGACACACTGACACACACATGCTGATCATTTTCTTAGCTACTATCCTGTTGTTAACCTTTTGGGTGCAGGAGAGTGGCCTCTGCTTACTCTTGGAAGTCATAGGCTGGCTCACCCTGTTCATGCCTCACTCCTCTCTACCTTCTTCGGTCCTCCTCTCTCCTGCATGGCTCCATGTGTTAGCTGGGAGGGAGTGACTGGCTCTCACTTCTTCCCAGCACTGCCATTATTAAAGGGGCC